TCAGACAATCAAAAACCTGCCTGCAGTATGTAAAATGCTAATAGTTGTTTAGTTCTCACCAACCATATTATGGACTTGATGTAGGAGGAACAAGGGAAGAATCTTGTGAGTCTGCCCTACACCACAGCCACAGCAGTCATGCATGCTGATGGGATGATCTGGCTGGAACCTGAGGTGCTCTTCTCTGGACCTCGCCAAGGTGCCACTTTATATTTTTTCAGTACAGTCATATTGCAGATATTTCAGTGCTTCTTTATTTTCTTAAATTTCTTTGTTCTGGGGGGGTTAGCCTTTGAGTTTCCACAGATTAACTACCAAAGGTATGGAGGGAAGAACTATACATACGCCTATGGACTGGGACTCAACCATTTCATACCAGACAGGGTAAGAGATTAAAACATTAGAGCTGAGAACGAGTAACTTAAACAAGCCTTTATACTTGACTTTTTTCCTGATTTATGCTCAGATCTGCAAACTGAATGTAAAGACCAAGGAGACCTGGGTTTGGCAGGAGCCTGAATCTTATCCCTCAGAACCATTGTTTGTTCAGACTCCTGATGGGGTAGATGAAGATGATGGTAAGCCTGCAGAAAATAAACTAAATAACTATTTACATTATTATACTATACTGAGAGAAAATGTGTGCAGTGGTCTCATTAAACAAATCTGGTATCTGGTGTCTTCACAGGAGTCCTCCTTACCATCGTGGCGGCTCCTGGTTCCCAGAGGCCAGCATATATGCTCATTCTAAACGCCAAGGATCTGTCTGAGATTGCGAGAGCAGAAGTGGAATGCTCCATTCCCGTCACCTTTCATGGGATGTATAAACAGTGACGATCCTGTCCAGTTTTATAAAGTGCATAACAACAACGATGAGAATAAAATGCATCCCTATGGCAAAGGGATAGACAATAAACAATAAAATATTTTGAGAGAATAAAAATGAATGAATGAAAATTTGTTAATAAAGCCACATTATTATACATATGAAGATGTGTTAACAAAAGAGTCGTCTGTTTCTAAAACTATTAAAAAAATTGCTTTTAGTAAATAACATTTTGGTGTTGAATTTCTACACATCTAATACTGTTGAATATGTGATGCTGTTTACTTTTCAAACCACCCACTTATAGGGCTCCTTGTACGCTATGCAAATGTCTAACCTATTTTCTGATTAATTCAGCCAACAGTTAGGTATGCCAAACATATGGCAGGAGCAAAAAAAAAAAAAAGAGCTTTAATATAATAGTTTTCTTCTAAAACAATTCATTATCAGTAAATCTATATCCATTTTCTTTTCATTGGAAATTTGCATTTTAGTACAAGCATTTTTTTGGTGCTTAGCTTAAGTATCTCTCTTGTATTACGCTTAAGGTATACACTTTAAATTCTTCATCTTAAACATTGAGTTAAAACCTTAAAAAAATCTGCTTACTGGTCACTTTTACTCCAGTGTTGCTTGAATCTGATCCTAAAAGATAAAGCATGTAGATCTTGCAACCCTATACTGTACAAGCCAATTGAGTATTTATCATGAAAAAAAAACATTTTAGGAGTAAAATATTCTTAAGGTTAGGGGGAATATTTCCTCTTGAATGCTGAATGGTTAATTATGGTGTTGAACAGTGACACAGTTTGCAGAATTGTATCCCTGCTGATCATCAATTTGGCAGATAAACACAGTATACCAATCAATAAGTAATTTAACTGAAACTATTGGTTTGCATCAAACTGTCCAATTATTGGATGAAAAGTTCAGAAGTCCCACCGCTGTATTAATACATTTATGTCAAATCAAGAACATAAATATGGTCTTGGATCGATTTCAAATCTCACGTTTGCATTAATCATTTAGAAAGCTGTGAGATCAAGAATGGCCAAAAACCAATAAGAAACATTAAAAAGCAAGGAACACATGCGCACTTCCAAAATAAAATTAAAAAAAATTCTTCTTTGATTCTCAACAGTAAACAGTGGAAAAATCATAGTACACCTCTGTCTCATTTAAAGAGACGACTTTCTAATTATATATGAAATATATAGATCATATCACAAGATGAACCTGTTCCATAATGATGAAAAACAAACAATTCAGTTAGATGCTGTAAAATGATTTTCCTAAACAAAACACAAAGACAACAGGAGAGATTCTCAGAAGCTATTCCATTTAGAACAAAGCAAACCATTTTTTCTTCTTTAATTTCACTCTTCATCTATAGTTGATATCTCTGCTGTGGTCAGTCTTCCAATATGAATCCTTCACAGTCTGTAAAAAAGAGAGCTTCATACCTGCTATTACCTATTATTGTTAAAGACAGGTTACTTGACATCTATCAATCAAACTTTTTACTGTCAAACTTTGAACTTCTGCCTTCAATGTCCAGATTGTTCCATAAAACACATTCAACCTGAGCCTAAACGAAAAACTCAGAAATTGCTGAGTTTACATACAACAAAAAACACATTTATACGTCTATCATGTAGAGACAAGGACAGTAAATAAAGTCTAGAAATGCATTTTCCTCTTACTTTCTTTTTTCTACCATTATCAATAGATCTTAAAAAACATTTTACAAAATCCCAAATCCATTTTTTTTCCAGATTGAACTGAAATTTTGTTTCCAAAACTTGGATACAACAAGGATTTGACATATATTTAAGTCAAGCATGCCTTTGTGTCTCAGGTCTTAATGGTTATTCGTAACAATATTCCTCAGCCTACGATAGGATAAAAAAAAAAAAAAACAATAACTGGTTGTAAACAATAAACTGTATTGTGTATTTTGTCTTGTCTGCATGCAATCACAATTTTACATTCATGCTACACATTGCCTCTAAAATTTTGTCAATTATAATCAAGCTAGCACCTGAAATAAACTTTTAGTAGGTGTCAGCAAGACTAGATGTGTTTTTCATGATTCGTGCAGTTAGTGTAAAATTCTCTAGATTAGCAAATGTCTTTCCCAAAACCAGTTTTGAGACTTTTGAGTCTGATGCTGTTGTAACACACATGTATTAATACAGACAAATACAGAGTATTTGATTAAATGTTTAGAAAGAGTCCAAAAAAAAAAAAAAACAGGGGACTGGAAAACTAGAGAAACTCCTAAAATAAAGTAAGATTCACATCACAAAGGACTGAGAGGGTGCAGACAAAAAAGGTCTACATTGGAAAGGTTCCAGCTCTGCTGATATTTTCTGCTACTCAAATGGGAAAAACCAAAATGTTTTTGGGATACAAGTTTTATTGTCTGATGGAACAATTAAAGAACTTTTTGGCCTCATCAATAGAAGGCAGATCAAAGATTTTCAAACTTAAAACCACTGAAAAGACACTGCGTGTCTCGAGCCTGTAACATCATTAATTACCCCTCACACCCCAACCATGGACTGTTCTCCCTGCTCCCCTCTGGGAAAAGGCTTCAGAGGATCCGATGCAGATCAAGCAGATTCCAGAACAGTTTCTTCCCCACTGCCATTAGACTGCTGAATTTTGTGTAAAATGGGTTATTTTATTCATAAAAAAAAAAATGTTTAGAAATGTAAATATACAGTAATTTGTTTATATTACAATTTTTTATGTTTGTATTACTGTTTTTGCACTTTAAAAAAATGAAATTGTCTAGAGCCGTTTTAAACTAAATTTCTTTTTGTATACAGTCGTGTATACAAAATGACAAAAATCTGTCCAAGTCTGAATAAAAATGAACAAGCATGGTGGTGGAAGCATTACACTGTGGTGCTATTTTGCTGCAAAAAAAGTTGCTTGCAATGAAAATGAATCAGGGTAGTTTAAACAAACAGATTTTATATATGTACACTCAGTTTGGTGTCTTAGAATTACATTATTGAAATGGTAGTAAAAAAAAAAATTGATATTTATGGCCAACAGGTTCAAACTTCTAGTTCTGACAGTGGCTGAATTCTACCAGCAGCTTTAAGAGATCCTTTTTCAAAATATCAAACTACACAAAGCAGTGCTGCTGGTTATTTATATCTGAAAAAAACATTGCAAGGTTAGGTCTACTGTGTAATGTACTAATATGGAAAGTGTTCAAGTGCAAATATGAAAAGAATTTGCAAAACAGTTCTTATAATACTTCACACAGAAACTGGATGTAAGCAGCAAAAATTAGGGATTACAATTCCAAACGGGTCCTTGTTCATTTGCTAGACCAGAGCAACACAGAGCCCTGATTGTATAGTCACGCTTCTCACTCCACTGCCAGATTTGAGGATTGCATTAACCAAAGGCTCAGCTATTGAGCACTTGCACATTGTGTAATGTTGCAGGTTTGTAATCAGTGTAAAATATTTAGCCCCATGAGCATGAATATGTCCATGTATATTGGGTTTTTTGCTAAATTTTAAAGGACTATAAATACTTTAAATAAAAACCACAGATGGTTTCTCTCCAATTTATTGTTTACACAAGGACTTAGCCTTTCAAAGGGACAGAAATTAAGTGATTACAATTCAAAGGTTCAGAATAAACTTAAAACTGAAAAACAGTGAAAGTAAAGATAAAGGAAATCATTACATCTCAGTTTTACCTCCTACACCATAAAATAAGTCTCAATACAGGGACAGAGGTTCCCACTGTATAAAAACAGCATACAGGTTAGCTAGTTAATGGAATAAAAGTGCAGTAAATTAAACGCAAACATGAAAGAAACAGCAAATTAAATAAGAGAAAACCCCCCACTAAAAATCAAAGGAAAAAAAAAGATTCCAACTACTGCTACAGTGACTTAAAATGAATAAAAAAGAATAAACTGTGATGAATAAATGAATCTAACTTCCTATATTAAAATGCAGGAGAAATACAACTTTATTTGCAGAGTTGTAGACATACCCATCAATCAAAGTCTTGGTCAGCTTTGATCGGCAGTTCCTGTCCTTGAACATTTTTATTCATTCATTTTCTTCCCAGATTATTAATACTTCAGAAGAGTGCTATAAATACATCCTAAAGTATATGCTTTATTGCATAAAAAGGCTTGTATTGTAATTCCACGATTTAATTTGGATTCTGTACTACTCTGTCTATAAGACAAAGCAACATGTTTTTTTTTTTCCTTTTGTGGTAAATGCCACGGAAAAGAACAAACCATACAGTTGTATCGACCTAAAAAGGCTGTTCAGTGCGTCGCTGCAAAACAAACTTCTAGAAAGACACTAACAACACAAGACCAAAATGATAAATGTTTAAAATGATAAATCGAGAAGAAAATAAAGCAAAACGAAACAATATGAAAACTAAAGCAAAATAAGTATTTAGCTGGCAAGTGGATGTTGCTGTTTTTACGAGACTTTACATCTATCCATTTACATTTTATTTGCTACAATTATGTAGCAGGAAACTATCTGAAAGTTTCAAAATATTCCCTTCACCTTTAGCAAGCCTCTGTCCCTTCTTAGAAGAAAAAAACAAACATCTAATTTAAATCACAGAAAACAAAATAAGACGTTCACGCAGCATAGTCATTGTTTTTTTGAAATGCATCATCAGGCTTACTCAGTACTGACAGTAGAGAAATATCTTTTATTCGTTATAGAACTCCTGCATCTCAGGAGATAAAAGAAAGACGTTTCGATAGTGCAAGGCTATAAGGTAAATATATTAATATATTGTTTTAGATAATGTCCTATAAGTAAAGTGCAAATCTCTGATCAGATGAAAGGTGTGCAAGCATTTGTGATGTTTGACTTGATTCCTCCAACTCTCTCCCATGCACAAATCCGCCCTCGACGGAAAACCAATGCATAACCTGGTGCAACATTCATGTAACAAATATGCTGTCTATTAAACCAAGTGAGTTTTGTTGTATTTATGCATGTTTTTTTTGTAATCTAGACTCTTCCTTAGACACAAGTGTAAGTCTTAGCATCTGTATACGACATAACGATGGAGCTTTTTTAAATTTCAATTATGTGGAGAAGATCAACGTTACAACAAACTCCAAACGTTTAGCTTACGAGTCATTATGGTAAACTAATTGTCCTCTTGAATCCATTTTTTGATCTAGTGATAGCAGTAAGGTGAAGCGAGACCAGCTCAGAAGAAACTGTTCAATCACCACAGAGCTTTTGCTCTCTCATACAAACACACACACACAATCACAAATCCAATGTGTTCTCCACCCTGCAGCAGCAGATCACACAACCTGGGTCAAACGAACACACAGAAGCACGAACATGCAGAGGAACTGTTTCTGACTGACTGGAAACTGATGTTTTAAGACCAGCTTAAATTAGCATCAGACCTTAGAGGGATGAAAGGCCAACATCGGGGGGGTAATTTCTGAAGTTTCCAAAGTGCCGAGTAACAAACACATTTCTAAACTCCTCTCACTCAATAAGAGGACAGCCGTTTTGGGTTTGCCCGAGGGGCTGTGTTTGATCTAAGCATCAGGGGAGAAATCGGTTGGTCCATAGGTGGAGAGCAGCGCTGCATCCACCGGCTCCATGCATGAGGGGCAGGTGAAGGATCTCATCAGCCAGTCGTCTATACAGTCCATGTGGTAGATGTGCATACATGGCAAAAACCGAATGGGGTCTCCGTAAACAAAGTCCAGCATGCAGATCACACATCTGAAAGACAAAAAGATAAAGAAACTTTAAAACCACGTGCCATTATTCGTTACATTAAAAATGCCTTTTCTGTGGTAAAAAACGTAGGGAAAAAAAATGAGCACAGAGTCAGAAAATCAGAATGCATTTCATCAAAATAAAGAAATCTAAAAGCCCATATCTAGACCATAAATTGCAATTCTATATTATCTTGTCACTTCTTCTGAAACTAATCTATCATTTATAGCAGAAAAAAGGGCAGAAACAAAAAAAAAAAACCTAAGCAAGTTGCACAGGTAAACCAACCAGTACATAAAACCCACTAATTTTCCCTGGAATTGTCTTGACTGGTGATTTTTTTGTAATCTTTTTTTTTTTTTTTTTTTTATCGTGCTAAATAAATCATCTGTAAAATGCATCAAGAAGAAGCATATTATTTGATAAACAAATGAAGACAATGTTCTAATGCTTTAATTTGATTGGAATCAAAAATATCACCTACAAAAAAAATGTAATGTTTTTCTTTAATGGTTAAGATTTGTTTAAGGTAAAAACAGGTATTGTTACAAATGGGTTTGTACATAGCCTTGTTATTTTCCTGCCACAGATGGCTTAGATTTTGCATTTGGAAAAAAAAAGTTTACTTTTTATCTGCAGAATACAAAGAGCCATTCTTGCCCTCAGCTCAGCTGAATAAAAATCAATTTGAGGGAGAAATGTTACACAACTTTCTTTAAAAAATAAAAGCAAATATATATTTTTGTTAAAACATCAATTGAAAAAACAGTTATTCAAAACAATATGTGTAAAAAATGTTCAAACCTGCAAGTATTAGTTATTATGTTTTTTATTCTCATCTCTATATTTAAAAATGATGAATTGGTTCTTTACCATGTTTATCCAGGGTTAATAAGGTACAAAGAGCCACAGGTTGCAAACCCTTATGTTACAGTCTTATGTTGTTTGCATGTCTCAATGGGATTTGGTTTGGCGTTATTTTAGCAATAGTGGCTACACAAACCAAAGCCGTCCCGTTGACTCCATCTGACCTGAGCAGCTGATGTCTGCGGCTTCATTAGTCTCTTTATTGCTATTTAATTAATGTTCTGATTGTCTGGTCTGTCAGTTTTTCTTGACGCCCATTTTCTGTAGTTATGCTATACCACATTCATTTGTAAAATGATTTAAGTTCTTAGTGAGGCCGAAGCTTTGGGTAGTTTCTTCTAGAACCTAAGATTGTTTTAAACCTCCCTCCAACTGTGACCCTGATCTGTCTGCTAAGTTAATCAGCCAATAAAGAACAAACAGATTAAATGGGAAACGGCTGATAATCTCTTAATAGGAGAAATTTGATAATGACATTAGCGCTGACATTTGTAATGATTCGACCCAGAGGTCTTTAACACTGGGGTTCCGACCCCCTAGTGGAGTCACAGTTGTACTGCAGGGGCTGCAACTGTGCCCCTTAACCCCTTGAACCCTACGGACCCACCGGTGGGTCCAGCTGCTACATGACCTCGTAGTTTTACCAAACCCCCAGTATTGATGTAAAAAACATATTTGGCACAGTTTGGTGACATTTATGGATAAATGTGCCAAAATGGCCTCTCCGCCTAAGAAATTTCTCACTAATACCATTCTAAAATAAATATGATTCATCTGATTGAGTCCAAATTTGGTATATTTTTACACAACATTTAGATTTGAAAGTCTGTACTACTTTTTTGTGCTATAAATATTATTTTGGTAGTGTTTTGCAATGTTTATTTCAAAGAAAATTTTGGCGAGGTTCAAAAAATGCAAAATATTTTGTATTTTGTCCCTAATATTTCAGGCAGGGTCAAAGCTACAATGGTGCTGACACCAGAAAACCATTCTATGACATCTTACCTTTACAGACGTACCAAAAGTTTCTTCTTAAATCTAATAGCTTTGAGGCTATAAGTTATTTACTTTTGTGTGTTTTTGTCAGGCAGAAATTTATTTATACCCCCTTAGGGTGTAAGAGGTTAAGCCAAAGCTTTTAAACTCTCTCTACTCTCTCATTTGTAGTTACATGGAAACTAAAAGGACTTGTAACAGGCATATATTATAATTTTCTTTATTAACATGTTATTCATATGACTTAAGTATATTCTTATATTATGCATTGTTAGCTATAGCCATGACTTTTTACTTTTCACTCTTTTTTAAAGATTTGTAAATGTCTCAATTTATCAAACATTTTGTTAAATAATTTCATAGCTAGTAAGGATGTGCAGTTTGGTTGCCTACCTTCAGTAATTATGTAAAGTAATGAGCAACTCACATGAAACACATTTTTTGAAAACTGATGACTCATTTCTTTCTTTCATCAATCATGTCATGGCAGTGGCTCCAAATTGTCAACTTAATGTTCTTTCAGAAAATGTTCCCCATCAAGTTTGCCATAAAGCATATCAGAATATTTTCACTTTACCTTTTTTACTCTATGGCAGTGCTTTCGGCAGATTTACAATGAAGCTTGAGAAGCTGTTATTTATATCGACTTTATAAGGATGCTTTACTGTTGGCATCACAAAGAACTCCCAGCGTTTAACCCCTCCTGTCCAGACAAATGGTTTTCAGATAGTCTTACACACATCTTTTCATCTATTGCCCATAGAATTCATGTTGGAATGAAATACATGTTTGACCAAAAAACAAACTTAATATTTATGTATAAATAACTTTTTAAAGGGCAGATGGCAGTTTAGACTCTCATTTCTATTAGAGTTTAGATTTTTTGTTTTTGTGAGGAATTGGTTATCAATTCAAATACATTTCCCTCTTAAAAAGAAAGATGCCCACGCCATCACTGCTTTAATCAAGTGTCTTCAAGGGATAATAAAGCTAATTATTTCAAGGCAACACTCTGAGGTCAGTTGGTGAGCTGCTCCTGAGAGAGCCTAAAATTAAGCGGAAGCTCAGAGGGGACCACGCTTTTGCAGCTCCAAAACTCTGAAATGACCTGCCTCAGCACATCATAAAGGCTTCTTCTCTGACTGTTTAAATCTCTTGTCAAAACCCACCTTTTCACTTTGGCTTCTAACACCTAGCAAGACAGTGGGCTTTATTTTATTTTTTCTCTTTTATTCCTTTTATCTTGTACCCAATTTCATGGATTTGATTGTGTGAATGTTATTTTTAGTATTTTTTTAGTTGTTTCGTTTTCTTATCTGTACCGTTTTATGTTTTATTTATCTTTTTTTTCTGAACAGCACTTTGGTCAGCTGTGGTTGTTTTTAAGTGCTTAACAAATCAAACTGGACTTTAAATGTGTACAATTACACATGTGATGGAAAACAACTGTATAATTATGACCCTGTTGCATGTCTAAGAGAGCAGAGAGAGACCAGGGGAAAATTAATAGCCAAAGGAGAGAGCAATCAGTGGAGCTAGTGGAAGCACTTCACTGTGATAGCTTAGTCCAGCAGCACCATGCTATTTTTCTGAACCACAGACATTCTGAGAGATTTTGAGTGCCGATTTGTTTTCAGAACTTGAAAACAGATTACAGTGCAAAATTTTGTGTGGTAAGTAATAAGAAACACCAGCTGCTGGTGGATCAATGTCTCCTGCTTCGTGTGCACGCACCACGGCGGTACCAGAGAGAAAAGATCCGGTTTTCTACCCTTTGTTCAAAGTTTCTCCAGCATTCATATTGATCTCAATCACATTCTAATTAGTAACCCAATAGCAACTGGAACACCGGTGGTATCTGATCGCCTCTAAGGAAACAAGTTTCATTCATTTCCGTATCATTGAGCAGAGCATGTACCGTATATTTCAATAATCGATTTATCCAATTAATTGTTTCAGCCCTATATGAAAAAGATGTTTCCGGTCTACATTTTCGCTTTTGATAATAAAAAGTTCAGAGTAAAAGAGTACCAAATCAGTGGGGAATTATTTTACATATGATTTGGATATTTACTTAACCTCTTTCATTAAATGAATTAAAAAGAAAACAAGGCTATAGCCTTATTTCAATTGCTTTTAACAGATTTTCTTTTAATAATCATATACCTCCATATACTTATACTCTCCAAGGTAGGCATAAACCATTTATTTAAGATGTTAAAACAATGAAAATATTAAGTTTTCTATAATAAACAAAAAGGATTGTGCTTAACACAGCATTTCCAATGTAATGGTCCTCCTAATAAACGCTTACTCTCTGATCTTCTTCTCTGAACCGTCTGGTCCTCCATCATAAACGCCCTTAGGGAGGTGCTGGATAAGGCCAATTCGCTGAGCTATGCGGATCTGCTCCTCCTCTGTCAGCTGGGAGGCCAGACGGGCCTGGCTGGGTGTCGGGTGGTACATGGGCATGTTAGCCTGCTCCTAGTGGCAGACAAAGAAAAACAATAACACTCATCCAACAAAGAATCTGGTCCAACGGGTCAGACTGAGAGGGGAGAAAAGGAAAATCACAAGAACCGATGCTGACAGCGATGTTTGATTTTAGTCAGAGAGAATAATCATGCAAATTACATTTTAAATATCAATTTAAAGTAAATACATTTAAGAAAACCCCTGTGATGTTTGCATAATTACTAGAATAACAACCACTAATATAACTATTAGGTATACGGGCAGAAAGGAAGTGAGCGTTAGAAAGCAGCTCACCTGGTACGGTGGAGGCGGCTCCAGGTCGGGATCTGTCCCGTCACCGAAACTCGCCCTATCGGACTGAGACTCATGGAGCAGGGAGATGTCGTCGGATGTTGGGGACTTCAGGCAGTTGCCCATTTTCCGTGCCTCCAGTCCTTTTCAGAGCCGACGTTAAAAAGAAAAACACAACTGTGCTGCTAAACTTGATTTGGGTCGGCTAATGTTAGTTTTAGTATCCCAGGAATAATTAACTGCTCAAGTTAAAATCAACAATTACATTCCTGTCGTGATTATTGAACTTCTACACACATGTTAAATAATTGGGAGTAAAAAGAAAAAAGATTAGCTTCGTTTCATGATTGCACTGAGCTGAGAAACAAAACAAAGAACTCTCCTTGATGAAGCTGACAGCGGTTAGCAATCCAGATAGCTTCTTTAACTGCGCGATTTCCTCAATACGTGACGCTCATTTCTCCTGAAGGCTCACAATTTATATACGGTACAAAGCTCAGCACTAGCTCTGGGTGTCAGTTGAGCTGTCCGAGAGGCAGACTCAAAAAAACACTTACGCCTATCAACTTCGTGAGTACCATCAAACAATTTATTTCCTTGCTAGCTGTTTCTTCTCTATCTTTTTCTTCTTCGTTCACGGAGCATAGCTCAGACGCGATACACCGCCACCTGCTGTACCGGAGTAAAACATGAAACCAGTTTAAAAGAAAAAAAAAAAAAAAAAAAAAAGATTTTTTTTTCTTTTATTACTCTAGAACAGGGGCCCTCAGGGGCCTTATGGGGTGCCCTCAGCAACTTCTGAAAACCTGTTGCCCTTCTCATTTATTTATTCTTTGAGCATTTCATCATTTTAATCATACCGAGTAGTCTATACAGATTCTATACAGATTTCAAAATGTGATATCATAAAAGAAACAATAAAAATATGTTTTGCTCTTCCTTCCTTCCTTCCTTCCTTCCTTCCTTCCTTCCTTCCTTCCTTCCTTCCTTCCTTCCTTCCTTCCTTCCTTCCTTCCTTCCTTCCTTCCTTCCTTCCTTCCTTCCTTCCTTCCTTCCTTCCTTCCTGCCTGCCTGCCTGCCTGCCTGCCTCCCAATACAAATATGTTTGTTATGTATGAAGTTAAGGTGAATGCTGACCCCTCCAGGTCAGAGGTCTGCAGTTTTGTTATCCCTCCCTCAGTACCCATGAAGTAGCCCTCAGCCTTAAAAAAGGTTAGTGTTAAAGATTGGCTCTGTGTATGCACTTTGATGCTCCATCTCTCCGGTTCTTTTCCCTGAAAAGAGATCACTCGGGACAAACTCTTTAAATAACACTTCATAACCCATATGTATTAAATAACCAGGAGACATGACAAAAAAATCTGATAGAAATTGTAATTTTACTCAGGTCAGAGAAATTGCTTAGACTGTACAGAAGGCAGCTTCTCACCTTCGGGCTCACCTCTCAGGAAGTGGCCCCGATTAACAGTTAAAAAGGTATTTTATTCATCTCCAGTCTGCCATATCATCCGATTTTACATCATACATGTTAGCAGATGATTAAACATCCATGGCTCCAGCCTTATCAAAATATTACACATCGTTCTTAGCTGAAGGACACTGCTCTCATTCCATTTCCAATTTTTTTTTCACGTAAGATTATAACTGTATATCCAGACAGAGGAACTGTCCTAATTAGATTAAAACATCAGTTCTGACATGCAACAGGCAACCAATACCAAGGTGTAATAAACTCCCACATCTTCAATGATTAGTATCCTAACATTGGTGACCCCTGCTCTAGAAATATGTAGCAGAGTAAAATACTGATCTGAAATTTTTTTTTATTGTACATCCTTGGCTTTTTATGCCAAATAGTTATACAACATTAGAGAAGCTATCCTCTGATCAAACAATTTATCCTCTGATCTTGTAAAAAAAAATCTTGTGTGTTTGCGTTTACAGAAGTAGGTGGATTTTAATGTGGATTTCAGTAGCTATTCTTGCATGTTTATTCTGTGCTAGGCCCTCTTTCTGTGCCACACATGTATCTGATACAAGTGGATAATAGAACAGCGGCATGCTGACTACTAGGGCCAAAACTGGTTATTGTTAGCATAGCATACTGATTGCTCATTTTTCTGTATTTTGTCTTTTCAAACACCACAGCAGCATTCTAAACTGTGTGTGTAAAAGATTAAATAACAGACATATCTTGCTTTTTTTATTATTTTTATTACAGCAATCAGCAAGTTGTATATAGGCAGACATTTTGATAAAACATTAACTTTCCTAATTTAAATTTTAATTCTATGCTAAAATTGAATTAAAATAATTATTCAAATTATTATGAATTAAATTATTGCATGAATTAAAATAAAACAATGAAATTAAATAATATAATTTAATAATGTCTGAGACATAAATCCTACTAGAACGCCCAAAGCCTGTTGTATTGCTTTTTAATCTGTCTAGAAAATCTAAAGATACGATTAGCTATGAGCAGTTTAGAGAGTTAAGGTTTTGTATCAATCGGCTATTAATCTGTACATATTTTTATACGCCATACTCAGCATTGGCCTACAACTAATTGTATTTTTTGCTCAAGCTCTTTCTATACCTGCACTATATTTTCATGCAACTCAGAACCTGAGTAGTGGTCTTCCCTCATTAGATATTGGTATTTTTTAATCTTAACTGCAATATACAGGTGCTGGTCATAAAATTAGAATATCATGAAAAAGTAGATTGATTTCAGTAATTCCATTTAAAAAGTGAAACTTGTATATTATATTCATACATTACATACAAACTCATATATTTCAGATGTTTATTTTGTTTAATTTTGATGATTACAAATGACAACAAATGAAAATCTCAAATTCATCATATCAGAAAATTAGAATATTACTGAAGACCAATAAAAACAAAGGATTTATAGAAATGTTGGCCAACTGAAAAGTATGAACATGAAAAGTATGAGCATGTACAGCACTCAGTATTTAGTTGGGCCTCCTTTGGCCTGTATTACTGCAGCAATGCGGCGTGGCATGGAGTCGATCAGTCTGTGGCACTGCTCAGGTGTTATGATAGCCCAGGTTGCTCTAATAGTGGCTTTTAGCTCTTCTGAATTGTTGGGTCTGGTGTATTGCATCTTCTTCTTCACAATACCCCATAGATTTTCTATGGGGTTAAGGTCAGGAGAGTTTGCTGGCCAATTAAGAACAGGGATACCATGGTCCTTCAACCAGGTACTGGTAGCTTTGGCACTGTGTGCAGGTGCCAAGTCCTGTTGGAAAATGAAATCTGCATCTCCAAAAAGTTGGTCAGCTGCAGGAAGCATGAAGTGCTCTAAAACTTCCTGGTATGTGGCTGCGTTGACCCTGGACCTCAGAAAACACAATGGACCAACACCAGCAGATGACATGGCACCCCAAACCATCACTGACTGTGGAAACTTTACACTGGACTTCAAGCAACGTGGATGAAGTGCCTCTCTTCTTTTCCTCCAGACTCTGGGACCTTGATTTCCAAAGGAAATGCAAAATTTACTTTCATCAGAGAACATGACTTTGGACCACTCACCAGCAGTCCAGTCCTGTTTCTCTTTAGCCCAGGCAAGACGCTTCTGACGCTGTCTGTGGTTCAAGAGTGGCTTGACACAAGGAATGCGACAGCAGAAACCCATGTCTTTCATACGTCTGTGTGTGGTGGTTCTTGAAGCACTCACTCCAGCTGCAGTCCACTCTTTGTGAATCTCCCCCACATTTTTGAATGGGTTTTGTTTCACAATCCTCTCCAGGGTGCGGTTATCTCTCTTGCTTGTACACTTTTTTCGACCACATCTTTTCCTTCCCTTCGCCTCTCTATTAATGTGCTTGGACACTGAGCTCTGTGAACAGCCAGCCTCTTTAGCGATGACCTTTTGTGTCTTGCCCTCCTTGTGCAAGGTGTCGATGGTCGTCTTTTGGACAACTGTCAAGTCAGCAGTCTTCCCCATGATTGTGTAGCCTATAGAACTAGACTGAAAGACCATTTAAAGGCTTTTGCAGGTGGTTTGAGTTAATTAGCTGATTAGAGTGTGGCACCAGGGGCCATCAATTTTGAACCTTTTCACAATATTCTAATTTTCTGATATGATGAATTTGAGATTTTCATTTGTTGTCATTTGTAATCATCAAAATTAAACAAAATAAACATCTGAAATATATGAGTTTGTATGTAATGTATGAATATAATATACAAGTTTCACTTTTTAAATGGAATTACTGAAATCAATCTACTTTTTCATGATATTCTAATTTTTATGACCAGCACCTGTATATCCTCATGATGGATTGCTTTTGAGTCAATGACATCAGCTGGTTTTCCTTAGAAAACGTTCAATCTGATTGCACGATCTAGTTGAATTGTCTCTTTAAAGTGCCTTGAGATGACGTGTTGTGAATTGACGCTATAAACTGAATTTAATTATTAGATAACAGATGGACCATTATGTATACAAAAGCAGTAAGGTAATCATAAAGAGCAGACCTCAGTCTGACTCGTTGCTTCACTTGGTAAAAGAGAAAAAAGGACAAGAGAAGACTTCACATGACAATCGCCACTTGAGGACACTTTTACTTATATATATATATATACAACTTTTTTACACATACGAACCCACAGAGCATTTGCATTCCTGGAACTTAAAGTACAATTCTTTTGGTTAAGTGAGCTTCAATAATTTCATCTATTTGTCAGGCAAATAAAACAACACACAACCTTAATATGAATATTTCAAAAGATTCCAACTTAGCTTTAAAACTTGTCAACAAAGACAATTTTTTTCCCCCTCCTTTTTTTTAAATGTTATAAACAGCATATGTTCTCTGTACATTATTTGCAAACGTATTGTAGTATGTCATGGTGTACCTTAAAGGTTTCTAAAGTTCATGTTTCACAGTCTTTATGTAGTGTTCACGATAGCAGATACAGAAGATCAGTTTTCTTATAATTATGTGGTGATTCTGCACTGTGGAGTTTTTTGAGATGCTCAGAGGTTGAGGAAAGACATCCCTTTAGTACGTTGCTGCAAATTTAAGTTTCACATGATATGCAGTGTTAGTTTTAAGCCACACAGAGTCTTTTCCCCCAAAGTTCAAACGGTTTAAAGGGATTAAATGAACTAAATGATGTATAACTGACAACATTTTAAGGTCTGAGGTTTGGTGATTGCATGATTTAATAGCATCGAGTGAAATCACAAATTATTCTTTCTAAGATGTCCTATTACTGTAATCTTATCCCCCATCTTCGAAATTATAATGTTTAATACCAAAACAAAAAATAAAGAAGGGAAATTAGACAGCTGACTTATTCACATTCATTCACATAGTAAAAAAATCCAGCATTGTTAGAGTATTATTATTAAATATATCATTGCCTGGCAAAGTTTTAGATTGCCTCTTTATGATGGCTTGTTGCATCGAACCTGTTCTAATAGATGGCAAATGATTACAATTTATTTACAAAAGTCATAACAAAACCTAGTTGCATACTCACACACCCCACAGATAAATGAATAACTTTTAGAGCAATGCATAATCTGTTAAAAACAACTGCAGAAATGAAATTACCTATTGACACAAATGGCATGACCCAGTCCATTCCTTTCAGTTAT